AGCCCCCCCCCCCCCCCGGGGCTTTTTCCACAGCTGCTGCAGTTTGATCCTGCCCGGCGCCTGGGTGCTGGAGGCGGCGGTGTCAACAAGCTCAAGGCCCACCCCTTTTTCAGTACTACCCAGTGGAGCAAACTGGTGGGGTAAGAGGGGGCAGAGTGGGTCATGGAGGCTGCTGGACTAGCCTGGATCTTCTCTCCCCTCTGCCGCCCAGAGCTGGCCCGTCTAATCAGTGACCCTCAGGCAAGGAAGGCAGGGCAGGTGCCCTTCCTGCTCAGTGCCACTCTTGGGCACCATCGTAACCACCGCTACTGCCCAGAAGGGCCTGGGCGTCCCCCAGCCAGCTCTGGAGACCCTTTCTGGTCACTGCTGAGGGGGAGGGACAGGGAGATCCCACCCAGTTGGGCAGCTCGGACCCCTCCGCCCATCCGTCCTCCACCCGTCAGTCAACAGCTCCCTGTACCTTGACCGCAGACCTGCCAGGCCACAGGGTGCCTTCCGCAGCATGAGCTCTGAGCTCCTGCCCGCCTGCTGAATGGACGGCAAGGTTTCGTGACTCACGAGCGGCCATGTGCCCCACTGGGGACATCTCTGGAGACTCATCTCAGGATACTGGTCCACTGGCCCAGTGGACCCAAACCAGGGCTGCCCTGCCTGCTCATCTTAGCCGTGCAACTTGGCCTCCTCCCCCTCCCAGGCTATTCCTGCACGGGGTGGGAGTGGGGGGTACAGGATCCACTTCCCGACCTGACCACGCGCCGTCTTACGACTTCAGACTGGAGAACAAAAGGCAGGCAGGAGAGAGAAATAAGGAGAAGCATCAGGGGAGAGGGAGAAAGGCACAACTCTGGCACGTAGTGTCATTCTGAAAACAGAACGAAGAGCTCTCTTCCCCAGCCAGCCCACCAGTGTGGGAAGGGGAGCCTACCCCCTGGGCCTCCAGGCTGGAGCAACTACTACACTTTGTACCCATTACAATCCCTTCTCAGGCATTTGTCCTCTTTACCATTTTGCATTTTCGTCTTGAGGGTCCATTTAATTCACCGCCCACTGTGACTTCACAAAACACATGGAATGATTGCCTAAGCTTTTAGCCAGAAGCAGAATGTTTCTGGTCCCTGAAGAGCTGGGGTAAGTAGTTACCTCAAAGACAATCCCCTCCCCAGGTTTGGGGGTCCTCTGATTCCCCTTGGGGCTTACCCTGTCACTGGGGTGTGGGAAGGAAATTTCCACCAGACCTCTGCCCCCAACTCCTTCCTTCCAGTGTCTCCCACACCACCAGGGGACGCCTCTGACCTCCAGTCTGGCTGTGAAGGTCCAACTCTAACTCTAGGGGTAGAGACCAGTCCTACAGAGGGCACACGGGGGGAACACAGCCTGCGCCTGCTTTCCCTGGGCCTTGCTCATACCCCCCACCCCCCAATAAAGCCTGCCATTGCCTATGGTGTCCTTGCCTCCTGAATGCAACCAGAGCAGCCCTGCTGGAAGGGAGAGATTGGAAGGCTCCCCCCGAGAAGCCCCATGCTAGTCAAGAGTGAGCTTGGAGTTCCCTAGAAGGTAGGAAGCAGGGCTGGTCGTGAAGGGCATGTCAGCCTGTGCCCCGCAGAGAAGCTCTGAGAGGAAGGGATGGCATGTGGCGGGGGGGAACCTGGGAGCTGTGGGAAAGAGAGAAGTCCTAGAGGAGGGTCATGGTACCTGGGGGGCAGGGGTGAGATAGGACACTAGTCTAATAATCCTCACAGTGACCCCGGAGATGGATGGTGGCTCCCATTAAAGACATGATAGGGCCCGGTGGAGCCTGTCCACAAGTCTGTCCTTTTGCTATGCTAAGTCAGGCCGGGCTGCTTCCAACCACTGCCACACGGAGGGTGAGTTGCTTCTGAACTTCTGGGCCTCATCCGTGCAGCGAACACCTGCTACTCTGCTGGGCCGTGAATACTGGGTCCCAGCCCTTACGGGGCTAATAATACCTCCGTTGTAGGTTTCCTAGAGAGCGCTTCTAGCACCAAGCCCAGGAGATTGAAGTTCTGCCTTTCCTTAAACCCATCTTCCCCCTCCCCGCCCCATTAGCTCTAGTTCTGCCCTCTGGAGCCACTGCGTTCCTGTAACAGACCTTCACCAAGACATAGCATCCCTGCAGGCCCAACAGGTGGGGATGGTGTTTAAACTCAGAAGCCATATGCCTGCCACCCGTAGTCTAGGTTAGCTCCCAACCTTGTCTGCCTCCCTCCCAGACCCCTGCTCCCAGGGGGTGATCTACCCTCATCAGTGCTTACTGACCTCGGGCACCCTTGTATACATGTGGCAAACAAGTCCAAAATGCAACATTGTCTTAAGTTACGCCCACCTCCTCAATCCATCCCAGAAATGCTCCAAGCCCCCACAGAAATGCTCGTCTGTTGGCGTCTGGGTCCCACCTTTTTGAAGCCACCGCGAAGTCTCTTCAAGAGTGTGGCCTGTCAGGCTGGAGGGGCTCACCGGAAGGAAGCCAGGCACGTTCCTGGCGTGCGGACGGCTAGGGTTCCACCTGCTGTCAAATCAGTACAGTGGTAACTTCAGAAATCTGGCATCTCACAGGCTAACTCCCGGGACATGCTGTGGCTTCCAAGGCTTGGGACAGTCACAGTGCTGGGGCTGTGCACCGTGGGAACTAAAAGGAACGCAGAAGCAGGAACCTTTTGAGAACATTTGCCCTTTAATTTGCATTTAAAATCAGTTTCTTTAAATATTTTAGGTACAAGTTCTGAATAGTGAAGACAGAGTAGATGCTGCAGGCACTCAGTATCGGCTCCCAACCCTTCCCCCACCCCACCCTCCAGGCCTTGCTTCTCCGCTCCAGATCCGAATGGGCACACACACTAAGTCAGTGGCTCCTGGTGTCCAGTGTCAGCAGCCTCAGGCCTGGATGCAGTTGCATACAAAGCAATGAAGCCCAGCAGCTTTCATAACAAGATGTGTGTATTTAAACTTGCTCCAAGCAATTCCAATGATTGTGCCCAGACCCATCTGGCAACACCACCTCAGGCGACTGCCCATTCTCGCCTCTGTATAGTAGCATCTTGGGGCTGGTTTCCACCAGAGTCCATCCTCTCTGACACCCCGCTCCCCCAAGGGCCACGATGCACAGAGAAACAGAGTCTGCCCCTTCAGTCCGAGTGCTTATGCCAATGGCATGTAAAAAGCTCAAATCAATCTGAGCCAGTCCACAGGAAGCCCCCTCACCCCAATCTCACCAGCCTCCAGCCCTTGTGACCATGCCCTGTCCCGCTGCCATGGTGTGCTAGAATCTGCTCTAAACGACAGCGATGTGCTAGAATGGTTCCAAGCAGCCCAGAAAGCTCGGCACAACCACGGCTGTGTGTTACTGTGCCAAAATGGAGCCGTGACTGAGAGGGTGGGCTCTGCTCCTGTCTTGTCTACAACATACCACCTCGGAGGGGACTCTGCCCCTGCCAACACTACCCCCCCCCCCCCCCAGACCCCCTGGCCTGTGCTTCCTGGACGAGGTAGAAGAGGCATCCTGAAGTCCTTGGCAGCGCACAATGAACTGTTATTTACGCAGCAAGCAGCACCTCTTGGCCTGCAGTCGGTACCTCCATACAGGAGCGATCAAGTGAGAGTGTTCACAGCCAGGCCAGGGGCTGCTGTAAGCTTGGGAGACACCACACCCTCCTAAGGAGGCTCTGGACAACAGACTTTCAAAAGATACAAACTTGATCACATGGTCCCCAGTGGTTTCCCTATAGAATACTGGCCCAGGAGAGAAGCAAAATCATCTCTGCAGAAGACGAATGGGAGAAAGGCAGGAATATTAATGAGCATCCACTAAGGCTCTCTCTCCCTCAAGCCTCAAGAAGATACTCGAGTGTAAGAGAAGGGTGCAGAGAGGGGAGAGCCTGGCAGAATACCAAGAAAAGACCTGTGGCTGCTGGTTACGTAGTGCCCTGGTTTCCTTGCTGGAGGCCAACAACATGTGCCTGGCACCAGGCTAGCCTGGAACCCATGAGGGGACAGGGAGAAGATTGGTGGTCAGTTCCTGCATGGTTGGTGTGTAGGGTATGTGGCTCCCTCCTAAAGGTCCAGTAGGAGGACTCTGGGATCCTCTACCGCTGCCTTGATTTTGCGGAGAAAAGTTACCGCCTCTCTGCCGTCGATCAGCCGATGATCATAGGTCAGTGCCACGTACATCATGGGCCGCACCTCCACCTACGGAGAGGAGAGGTTGACAGGTCTGTCTGCAGCAGAGGAAGCCCCACTGGAAGTGGGGAGATGAGAAAGCATAGCCCATAGAAAAGCTTCCAGTTCCAGAGCTTTTCCTATTGTTGTTGCTTCTGGAGCCTTCTATTTTCAAAGACCAAGGCTTACCCTGAGTGCAAAGCTCTCCCACTCAAGACAGCTCAACCAAGAAAATAAAGAGTCTCTTCAAAAGCGCCTTTTAAAAAAACATTCTTGGGCGCCTGGGTGCTGAGTTGGTTAAGCTTCCAACTCTCAACTTTGGCTCAGGTCATGATCTCAGGGTCCTGGGATCAAGCTCCATAGCATCAGGCTCCGCACTCAGAGGACACCCCCCCCCGCCAGCCCCCCAGCTTGGGCACACATTCGAGTATATGCACTCTCAAATAAATCTTAAAAACACACACACACACACACACACACACACACACACACACATTCTCTGCCCTTTCATTCATCTGTTGTCTAAAGGAAAAGTTTTCCCTTCAATCCTGGCAGCCCAAAGTTTCTTCTTTAGGGTTAGAATTTTAAAAAGTAACCAGAGATCCTCAATTCTCTTAAGTTGTATGCAAAGTTAGGTGTGTGAGCATTTTCAAGGGAGAAGACCTAGGATTTTTGGATTCACAAGACCTAGTGACCCAAAAATGTTCTAAACACAGGAGTCCCAGAAAATATTTTCCTACCAACATATCTTCTAGGGCCAGCTCAAGACCCTTTAACTTTATTCCCTGAACTCCCAGGGAACCGCTAAACCTTCATACAACCTGGGAGCTCATAGATCTTCATTGCTGTCCTGTTTCCCCGGGGCAAGGACCACATTGCCAACTGTGTCCCCACTCCCGACAGCACCGAATGGAACTTGATGACCCCTCCCGATGAAGGAGGAAGCCACCTCAACTCCATGGTCCTCACACTTTAATTTTTATCAGAATCACCTGCAGCTTCTGCTTCATCAGGTCTGGAAAGGGGTCCAAGAGTCTGCATTTCTAAGAAGTTCCCAAATGATGCTTAATCACACACCACAATTTGAAGATCAGTGCCTTAGCTATTAATTAGAAACTAAGAGATGGAGCTTATGCCTGAAATTCCAGTGCATCCGTCATAATTAATAGCTAGCTTTCCCCCTCCTCTTCATCTAGCCAATAGGACATTTGCAGTGATGGTTCCTACCTTGCCTCCCACAGCCACTGGCCTATCAAAGATGCCATGCATGCCCAGAATGGCCGACTGAGGGGGGTTGATGATGGGCGTTCCAAAGAGTGAGCCGAAAACACCTCCATTGCTAATGGTAAAAGTACCACCATCCATATCTTCAATGGCAAGTTCATTCTTTCGGGCCTAAGAATGGAGATTTAATCACTGCAATATAAGGCCAACCCAGCTTTCTTCACCTACAGGGAGCCCAGAAGGCTCCTGTCTGAGACCAACAGTCCAACTTCTAGCTATTGTTCAGCAGAAGACGCCTGTGGCCAGGCCTCCACCAGAGGACAGGCACAATGCCTTGAGGACCTTTGCTTTCCCCAGCAGGCCTCCTCTGATGAGGTCTTCCGTGACAAGAACATGCTGAGCGCCGCCAGACAGCTAGAGTCTGGCTCCTGGGGGTGACCGCCAGTCTCGGGCTCCGCACGCCTTACCCAGCAGAGCAAGGCGCCAGTTCCCTCAGCACTGCCCACTGGTGAGCCTGGCCTTCCCCAGCCCCTCCTCCCTGACCTGCCCAGCAACCGACACACATGTTGCTTTCCACTTTACCTTTTCCCCCAGTTCGCTGATGGTTCGCTCGATATCTGCGTAATTCATAGCTTCCACGTTCCTGATAACAGGAACCACCAGACCCTGATGAGAGTGAAAAGCTGTTTTCAGTTGCAGATTAACAGTACCCTTTATAACTCCCTTGATTCAAGCGGATGGTCTCTGCTCCCCATCGAGCATCTTAATGACTCAATGTGATTAACAGAGTCTAAAATATTTAGGCTTGACGGTAAGATAAAAGAATGTGGTGGGGTCAAAAGCAGGTTACTCTTTTACTAACTCCCTTCTGAGAAGACAGGATTACAGAAATGCTCTCTCCCCAGGGGTCTGCTTTTTTATACAAAGTGAGAGTCTAAGACCAGAGCTCCCCACCGCTTTCCCCAACATACCCGTGGGGTGGCCACGGCGACACTGATGTCAATATAATCCCTATACACCACCTCTT